CTTGCTCGCTTGATCAGTATGTTGTCGATTGCTCGCTTGATCAGTATTGGGCTGTTCTCGTAGCGACGAATTTTCATTCGGCGCTTTTGCGGAAACTCCTGTCTCGCCTCCATGGCCAGTCGATTCTCCGTTCTGATCTGCTCATCCGGTTTGGATTCGTGCTTTTTGAAGCTATCCCCTAGTTCCTGCAGCATACAAAAGGCTCCAGCTTCAATTGCCCACGAGCGGATGTCGCCAAGTGTGGAAACCAAAAAGTCCCGGGAGACACGAACCTCATTTGCATGCCACTCACCCAGGCGGTCAGCATCAGTCCGCCTGCTAGCCACGGGACATACTTCAATAGCTGACAGTGACGGTAGGCGTCCATGTACTTTACTGAAGAGGCTGGCGTCAGACTGAAGCGGAAAAGAGTTTTGTCGTTGTTAATATCCCAGATTTCGTCGTAAGGGTCCAACCCAGTTAAAACAGCCGAGTTGCCGATCGAAGTCGGATTCCACGAGCTGATTTCGTTTAGCGCCGCCTGCTTCACGACGACCGCCGCCGTGTTCATCTTTCGAGGACATCTTCTTGACCACGCTGTTCAGCATCTGCTCGACAGAGAACGGTCTTTCCACGGTGGACACTGGTTTGTTTTGCGCGAGAAAAGTTTCATGATGGGTGCTGTCTTTCTCCGGGCACACGCGGGGGAAGTAGCACTGGTCGAATCCTCGTGTCTCGCGAGCAAGATCAGGGATATGAAAAAACTTATAAGGCGTTCCTGCAAGAATTCAATCCGTGGTAACAGCGGCCTGCCGTCGTGCCGCAACATGTCCTGAAAATCGATGCTCAGCCCGAGAATCATCTTCTTCTCAACAACATAGCGGTGTGCGTCGTGTGCGACTGCAGAGAGATCAGAATCAGTTGCAGCGGTCCTTTCGATCGCCACACTTTTCCAGAGTTCGTCACTGTCCTTCGGTCCCCACGCTGCTTGCTTGTTGATCTCCTTCGTCACAGGTGCGTCGAACAGCCTATTCACGAAAGACGAAGAAATGTAGCTGCGGTAAAAAGAAGTAGTTGTGGAAGCACGAGAGGATGTTTCCTTTTTGATGTCCTTGCCCTCGCCCTTAACTGCTGCGTCAAAACAGAGTGGCAGCTCCACGTTCGTCGCAAATCCGATTCTGCTAGGGGACGCCAGGATCGCGCCGCCCCAGCCGTACGGCGTGGACGGCAGCAGGAATGTTTTTGGCTCTTCACGCGCGTCCCACGGATTGATGCTCAGCTTGTCCAGAAGGGCGTCAAGCACCGCTATAAGCATCTCGAAGTAGTTCACGGTGCATCCCCGAAAGTTCCGCAGCGTCACTGCATACACGTCGTGGCGATACCGCCAGCGGACGGCACCCTATTGCCACGTGCGGTTATTTCCAGGAGCGTGGTTGGACGTTCCTGGGAAACCTGGATTGAGAATGTTGGCTGCGGAGGTGCTAGCAGGAGGGGACGCCGCGCAACACCACTCCCACAGAAACCGCTCCGCGGTATTATCCGCTCTGGTGGCTCGTCCGTCAATGTCCATTTGCGCCTCTTTCGGTTGCGTAAGCCACCGAAGAATGCGCGGCTTCCAGTCAATCGCAACCTTCGACAAACGACGGCCATCCTTTGCAGTTGCAGATTCTAGTTTGAAACAAATAGTCAGGAAGTGCAAGCAGGGAATCGAAAAAAATGACAAAACGCGTGTAGGAAAACTAATTTTGCTTCGTGGTTGTAAACGACGCGATTTCTTTGACAACAAGACATGGATTGTGATGTCATGTGCATGCTGCCCTTGCAGTTTCGGTTGTCGTCAACAGCAATACTTAATACCAGTAAGACCAAAACAAACTCAAGGTACCACGGTAACCCTTCGTACTAGTTTTGCGCGACTTAGTGAAGTGACTCAAAATGATATTAAATCCCCAGTCTCAGAGCTCGTTGGTCTACTACCAAACGGAAAAGCGAAAACATTCATCTTCAGCACAACCTGCTGAAACTCAAAGACGAGATGGTGAACAACACTTCGTGCCCCCTAGGCTGAACGCGCGAATTATATGATTGACGTGTTCATCTTGTTCAGTTTTAGGGACGTTGCTCCTCGTCTTACCTCAACGGAAACGGAATCGAGTGTAAAAGTCTTATTTATATTAGGTTTTTTCGGCCGCGCCAAAGGCGAACCCTCTTCGAGTTCTCGAGCAGTTACGACAACAAGCTTCCACCGTAAACATATACTCCATCATCCCTTTACTCCGGAATCGCCAGTCGGTATTTCGGATCCGGATCTCTTCGCAGTTCGTAGTACGGCGGTTGGTTTCTTTTTTCGAAGCTTACCGGCACTGACTCCCACATTTTGAGGATTTTGTTCGGTAACACGTGTAGCACCACGTCATGGGAAATCTGTTCGTACTTCGGCTTTGTCTGGCCGCACGGCCTCGTTTCCCCCGGGTAGTGTTCACTGAACGGAATCCAGACCGGAACTTGTCGCCCCGCTCTCGCGTCATCCGCGCTGGGCTTGTTGCGACCGTCGAATTTGTCCTTCTCATACGGAAAGGCACGGCGAAACACCTCGGTCGCGGGGCCGTGGGACAGAACCAGTTCAATCGGATTTTGTTCCGCGCACGCAAAAGGGCCATCTTCGTGTTCGTCACCCCCAACAGCATCCTCAAGGTGGCTCGCGAACAACGCGTCCCGATGCGTCGGCCACTTGTTCAGCATCCAGGACATGCCTCCCGTGATTTCGGGCGGCCACTTTTGGATCGCGAAGTCGACGAACTCCACCGTGTCGAGATTCAGCCTGTAGTAGTTGCTCCTCATCTCGCCGAAATCCGTGAATTCGAGGAGCACGCGACCGCGGCGCTTCACGAAGCGGTAATGTCTGTCGTTGCTGTAGCCGTTGTGCTGGTGGAAGTAGTACCCGGAGAACCGCTCGAAAAGCGCTTCCTTCTGCCGCTTTTCCACTTCGGTGCTGTGCGCGCTCATGGTCGCAATTTCGATCACGTGACTCTGGAAAACGGAGTTCTCGGCCTCCTGCTTCTTTTTCTGCTGCAACTTCTCAGTGGCGTCAATCGCCCGCCGAACTTCCGCCAGCAAGCTCGGGTCCCCACGCCGGCGCGGGTGATTAAGTAAGAAGTGGTATTTGGTGTTTCGGTAGTGGTCGACAACGTTTTTGTGTCGCGTCATCTTGCCGGTCCAACTACAAACAGAGACCGAGCCGCTGTAGTCCAGCACCACCACTTCCAGGTCCTCCCAGGAAAAAGATTGCTTGGTAAACCACCACACCTTCATCGCCCACGTGATCGTCATCGCATTTTCGCTATCCGGTAGCTTCTCATCCACCACAATGCCGACGTCATACACGTCACGGTAGTAGTCGCCGGAGTACCGCTCCTGCTTGTAAACTTGAGCTTGCTCAGGATCCTGAACAGGATCTTCTCGCGGCTCGTCGATCTCCATGGCAGCATCGTGGTCACCCTTGTCGTCGAATTTCTTAAGTTGCTCGCGCGGAGACACCACAAACTGGTTTATCAGCTCTCCGTGTTTCAAGTTCGAGCACGGGGAACCATTGAACAAGTCCGGGGACAGGACGCTGTCCATGGGAGTTTTGGTCAGATCCAGCCGCTTCAAATTGTCCGGCTTGATCGCCACGATGCGCTGGTCGCCTCCATTGTAGAGCAGCACGGCCCAGCGAGTGCTCGCGGCATCGTCAGCCGGCGGAGCTGCTGGCGCGGTAAAGACGGCGGGCGCAGTCGACGAAGCCGAGGGTTGCGCTTCCAAGCCGGAAATTTGTGGATAACCAACTCCAGCAGCCCCGGCTCCTGAGGTCCGCGTCGTGCTGGTGCGAAAAAGAGTGTCCTCGTTCCCGTCAGTGATCAGCAGCTTACGGTCATACAGTGCCAAGCCTCGCAAGCCATTCAAGTCCTGCTGCCTTTTCAACCCGTTGAGCTCGACAAAATCGCCTGCCTTGATCGCCACAAAAGTTGGCGTCGTTTTAGTTCCTGCGACCCTCCTCTGCGATAGATGCGACTCCCCACTGCCACTCGGTGAGAGAAAGTGAGTAGCCGCGCCAAAACAGCCCGGAACTGTGTGGCTTGCTGCAGCTAGGAGAAACCGAAGTGGAACGAAAACGAACATTATAACGCTCACGCTTGTTAGTTGCGGCTTTGCTTGGACGCTAGGATCAAATTCAGAATGTAAAAGCTCAAAAACAAAATGCCGTGCTCTTATAAGAAAGTGCTTGCTCCTCATGGAAGATCAAGATGATTGCAGTGAGATCCGCTTTCTTGCTGTCAGGATGTTTTGTGCGTAGAAAAAATTGTTTCCATCAAGCGTTATCGTCATCTTGTTCTAGTTCTAGTCCATTGATAAAAAATCAAAACCAATCCTTCAGAAGACCAAAATGCGACTTCATTACAGACCGCGATTGTATTCTATCATTCTTGACTGATACAAAAAAGAAACACCAAAGCCTTAG